GTGCAGTGAGTGCACTTGTAGGTACCGTATGAGTACATCACTACACACTAGTAGCACACACACACACACATACTAAACTGCCAGTTCCCGAATGTGCAGTATTCGTAAGGACAATTTGAAATGAATGCTTTGAATTGCTCCCTAAGCAAATAATTCGAAAATATTCGGTGAATTTGATTCACTCCTAGTGTAATCCCACGTGCTCTCCAGGCTCCAAGCACCCTTCTAGCACATCTGAAAACCAGCACCTGTCCAGCACTGTGCAGCCGTAACCACCACCGCCACCGCCAAAATCAAGTAATAAAGAGGCATGGTTGTGTTTGTGCTGGTGCTGCTCCTGGTGGCTTCTGTGTGGTCATCATTGTTATTGTCATGCTGTGTCTTTCTGACTACACAGTATGCGGAGATGTATAACAAAGCTATGGAGGGAAGCAGCCAATCCTTGTATTCACTGACTGTGAATTGCAACCACCTCAAGTTGGCTGTGCGGTATGTTCAACTACATGCACCTTGGTGTTGTCTGTCACTGTTGATTGCTTTGTTGTTGTTCTGGTCTGCCTCTGGTTTGCCTCTAGGCTCCCTCTGGCCTGTCACTGCGCATCATGACCTTTCTGATTTCGAATAGCCCAGCTGTCACTGGCTATTATGGTTTAGCATTTCAGGAGAACGTATTGCATACCTTACAGGCAGTTGCTTACACTCTCAGCACATGGTACATGCTCTCAGTACGCATACATCTACACGCCTACGAGTATGTGCCTAACACAGTTTCAAGGATCCCTGCTGCACACTGTGCTCTATGGCCTCCTACGTGCTATACATGTATGATACTGTATGCCACTGTATGTCACTGTACCGGTATGTTGGTGTGCCTGCATGGTGTCTGCTGTTGGAAAACTTACTTCTTCCCTGCCCTTGTTGCCATTGTTGTCATTGTTGCCATTGTTCTGATTCTAGGTTTCCTAAAGCAGATTTGCGGCCAGCGGATGAGAGAGACGCGGACGCGCGGCAACCCGAGTCGCTGCTGATTTACGCCGACGAGTGCCACTTCTCGACCGAACACACTGCACTGTCGTCCGAGAAGGTCTCCACGTTCAACTTGAAGTTTGAGAAAATCTCGGGTATGTCATATACGCGTTGCGTCTTTCCCTCAAGTCAGTGAGTGTGTCATATGCACAAGCTAGATTGCTATATGCTCGCAAAAGTGGCCAATGCCGCGAAGACAAAGCCAAATCTTTTAATAGTAAAAAAATATTTAAAAAATGGTACAAGTTTTCAATGGAACAAGGCTGACATTTGTTGTTACTCTGGAGGTTCGTGGCAATCAGGACAATCATTGGACAACAACGGTACTAATGATTCATGTCTACAGTACTGTTGGGTCAGGTGTCATACTTCTGATGTAGTTGAATGTCTGTTTGTGCAAACTCTTCGAGGTAGTTTGGTGCTGTACATGTACATTGTAGTGTTGACTTTGCTGTTGTGTTGCTGCTGCTGCTGCTGCTGCTGCTGCTGCTGCTGCTGCTGCTGCTGCTGCTGCTGCTGCTGCTGCTGCTGTTGTTGTTGTTGTTGTTGTTGTTGTTGTTGTTGTTGTTGTTGTTGTTGTTGTTGTTGTTGTTGTTGTTGTTGTTGTTGTGATCAGGTTACATGATGGATGGTGTAGATGCCAGTGCGAGGACTCTCTTCATGGAGTGCCTGCCTGCAGCTGGCACCATGGCTTTGGAACAGCTGCACGGCATTGGTATGCCTGCTACACCTGAGTAAGTTCGGTGCTGGGCGCAGTGGGGGAAGAACCACTTTGAAATAGTCTTGGTGTTCAGCTGCCCGGGGCCCTACAGTGGCCAAGGGGTGATCCCAAATGGACCTAAACACCCCAATGATGCACCACTTTCCCCAGAATGAACGTTACACCTTCTTACAATAAGCCCCGAGGTCGAGGGGGGGGGGGGGGGGAGATCGAGAGTAACTTTTTTGCTCCTATAAACACAGTGGAACTATACAATGGGGATCTGAAAATGGGGATACGACTTGCAAGTGTGGAGATACTGTGTTCACCAATGCTGTGTGCGGTAGTGTATGTCAGTGTGTGTGTGTCGGTGTATATGTCAGTGTCAGCAGTTCTTTGCCACTGCTCTTTACTGTTGTGTTTGTCATGTTTGCAGGATGACCATAACTCAGGTCACGTTTGATCCAGCCTGGTGTGGAGATAGTCCCGAAGCACCCGTATCACCATGCGTCGGAGATGATGAGATGCTGGACGGCATACAGTTTGAGAAGTCCACTGCTGCACCATCACCCTTTACACACTCCGCATCATATGAAGTGTTGCCCGACAAAATGGCTGACATGGGACGTGGAGTTCAGGATGACGCTAAGCATGAAAAGCAGGTCAGTGATATGTGTGTGCGTGTGTGTACGTGTATGTGTGTGCGCGCGTGCGTGCGCGCGCGTGCGCGCGCGTGTGTGTGTGTGTGTGTGTGTGTGTGTGTGTGTGTGTGACGCACGCACGGCCGCATGCCCTGGTCAATGTGGCTTCCAATCTCCAATGCGCTAAGCCTCTTTTAGGTTGCATCATATAGTTTTCTACCAGACAATGGCCGGTGACCTTCGCCAAGCTACAGGTGTATAAAAACAGGAAAAAATAGTGCCCTCCAGCGTGTTTGTCCATGCCGACATGTCACTTGTATCGCTTTGTGTCCGTCCTCGTGTCGCTATAGGTGTACCCAGGAAATGATTCCGAACTGAAAAAGTTTGAAGACTCGGCCAGGCAGAACTCCAAACTGGTTGTGTCTCTTTCGCTGCCACTGGTGTATGTGCACCTCAAAAACAAACCCTTCCTGGAGCTACTCTACAACAGGTGAGGCAATGTTTAGCTCTGTGCGTGTGTCATCCCATCACATCATCACACGCCAGCTGCTGCGACTGACTGGAAATGAAAGAGGGAATGTGGGCAACTGTGGCATTTTTCACACTTGCAGCAGAGAGCTCTATGCACCACACAATACACCTGCGTGGCTGTGTTGTCCTGCACTGCCTCATTCACGGGCACACTGCTGCACTGATAGCCCAGGCCAGTAGCCACACTGCTGCACTGATAGCCCAGGCCAGTAGCCACACTGCTGCACTGATAGCCCAGGCCAGTAGCCACACTGCTGCACTGATAGCCCAGGCCAGTAGCCACACTGCTGCACTGATAGCCCAGGCCAGTAGCCACACTGCTGCACTGATAGCCCAGGCCAGTAGCCACACTGATACCGCATCAGCTTTAGCTGTCAAGGGCGGCTGCATGAGGTGATAGTACCCAAAATGATACGTGTCTCGTCCATGTACTGTCGTGGACATGGAAATCCAGGCGCTCTCAGCGCGTACAGAACAGTGCACAGTCGTGTTGATCCGATGCGACCAGCCTGCAGGCAACGTATATGCCATGCATGTGTGTACTGCTTACCCACGGCTGCATGGCCAGCGCCCTGGGGCCGCTAGACGTGCGATCGGATTTCCATGTCCACGACAGTATGTTGGATTTCTATATAACCTTGAATGCGGCTAAGACCAACAATACCGTATGCTGGTATGCGTAGTAAATCAGCCATATCTCAAAGGTGACAGGAAGTGGCAGCCCATGAGTGAGACCCACACCATTCTAATTCCATCTGCCTGCATCTCCTACCTAGGTGTTACGACTCCCTGCCACCAGGGTATCAACGAATATGTCAGTATTATGCCCCATGGCTTTGCAACAGGGCCAACCAACCATGCAGAATGTATGTATGTGCATGTCTGTCTGTCTGTCTGTGTGTGTCTGTGTGCGTGCATGTGTGTACATACGTGTGTGTGTTCGTATGTGTGCGCGCATGTGTGTGTGTGTGTGTGTGTGTGTGTGTGTGTGTGTGTGTGTGTTCACTTTGCTCTGTTGCAGAGTTGTTAACGACCTGCTGATGTGGGCGCCTCCGCCCGAAGATAATCTGATTGAGTCATTGGATGATATTGTCCAACCGACTGCGTTCATACCCAATTTTCAACTGCCTTTTGAGGGATTCATTCCCTCCCGAGGTTGGTGTTGTTTGTGTTGTTGGTGTTGTTGGTGTTGTTGTGTAGTAGTAGCAGCTATATAAGTAAAGTGTACTTGTATCTGTTTGGATGGTCTCTTGGTGTGGCATAGTAGCTATGGTAATAGTGGTTGTACTGAGTCATAGCAATGCATGAAGCTTTTGCTTGTCCTTTCTCTATGTGTAGTACATAATTATAGTGACTTCAGATACACCCAGCAGTGTGTGTGTGTGTGTGTGTGTTAGGATACATGTACTTAGCCAAGCAGGAGCTGATCAATAATACATGATTACAAGATGACTGCCGCTTTATACGGAAACAAAAATGCCTGCGGTGTTTTCTGAATTTCTGTGTGAAGAGGAGAAAGGACAAGACTTAGTCGAGTTATGAGTAATGAGTAGTGCTTCATGGCTATAACTAAGATGCAGGACGTGTACTGTAGTCAGAAAGAGAGAGACAGTTTGTTGCCTAGCTGTCACACTTTCTGACTCAGGTACATTCATCTCCTGACTGGCTCGGACAGTTACTCATAACTCGTCCTTTTTTCTCTTAAAAAAATATTGGCTCAGCGTCCAAAATTCTGTATGTACAGTAAAACTTCCCAAATCCGGACCCCCTAATCCGGATCCCCTAATACGGGCACGCCCGTCTACTGGGCAGCTTTCTGACCAATCTACTAATAACTAATTAGTCACGAAATTTGGCTTTTCAACAAAAAAGGGGCAAAAAACTATTGATTGGCATAAAATTAAAATACCTTACTTGCACTTGCATGCAGTAAGTATGCAAGTTCTGAGTTACAGGCAATTCCTAGTTACGGGCAGTGCTTGGTCGCAACCTGCCCGGATCTGGGCAGTACAGGCAGTGCTTGGTCGCAACCTGCCCGGATCTGGGCAGTACAGGCAGTGCTTGGTCGCAACCTGCCCGGATCTGGGCAGTACGGGCAATGCTTGGTCGCAACCTGCCCGGATCTGGGCAGTACAGGCAGTGCTTGGTCGCAACCTGCCCGGATCTGGGCAGTACAGGCAGTGCTTGGTCGCAACCTGCCCGGATCTGGGCAGTACAGGCAGTGCTTGGTCGCAACCTGCCCGGATCTGGGCAGTACGGGCAATGCTTGGTCGCAACCTGCCCGGATCTGGGCAGTACAGGCAGTGCTTGGTCGCAACCTGCCCGGATCTGGGCAGTACAGGCAGTGCTTGGTCGCAACCTGCCCGGATCTGGGCAGTACAGGCAGTGCTTGGTCGCAACCTGCCCGGATCTGGGCAGTACAGGCAGTGCTTGGTCGCAGCCTGCCCGGATCTGGGGAGTACGGGCAGTGCTTGGTCGCAACCTGCCCGGATCTGGGCAGTACGGGCAGTGCTTGGTCGCAACCTGCCCGGATCTGGGGAGTACGGGCAGTGCTTGGTCGCAACCTGCCCGGATCTGGGCAGTACGGGCAGTGCTTGGTCGCAACCTGCCCGGATCTGGGCAGTACGGGCAGTGCTTGGTCGCAACCTGCCCGGATCTGGGCAGTACGGGCAGTGCTTGGTCGCAACCTGCCCGGATCTGGGGAGTACGGGCAGTGCTTGGTCCCAACCTGCCCGGATCTGGGGAGTACGGGCAGTGCTTGGTCCCAACCTGCCCGGATCTGGGGAGTACGGGCAGTGCTTGGTCGCAACCTGCCCGGATCTGGGGAGTTCGGGCAGTGCTTGGTCGCAACCATCCCGGATCTGGGCAGTACGGGCAGTGCTTGGTCGCAACCTGCCCGGATCTAGGGAGTACGGGCAGTGCTTGGTCGCAACCTGCCCGGATCTGGGCAGTACGGGCCGTGCTTGGTCGCAACCTGCCCGGATCTGGGCAGTACGGGCCGTGCTTGGTCGCAACCTGCCCGAATCTGGGCAGTACGGGCCGTGCTTAGTCGCAACCTGCCCGGATCTGGGGAGTACGGGCCGTGCTTGATCGCAACCTGCCCGGATCTGGGGAGTACGGGCAGTGCTTGGTCGCAACCTGCCCGGATCTGGGGAGTACGGGCAGTGCTTGGTCGCAACCTGCCCGGATCTAGGGAGTACGGGCAGTGCTTGGTCGCAACCTGCCCGGATCTGGGCAGTACGGGCCGTGCTTGGTCGCAACCTGCCCGGATCTGGGCAGTACGGGCCGTGCTTGGTCGCAACCTGCCCGAATCTGGGCAGTACGGGCCGTGCTTAGTCGCAACCTGCCCGGATCTGGGGAGTACGGGCCGTGCTTGATCGCAACCTGCCCGAATCTGGGCAGTACGGGCCGTGCTTGGTCGCAACCTGCCCGGATCTGGGGAGTACGGGCAGTGCTTGGTCGCAACCTGCCCGGATCTGGGCAGTTTTGCTGTGTGTACACATGCTACCCTGGACGGTGCAGACGGTTAGCTGCTTCAGCCAACTTCGCCAGTTCAACCACAAGCTGAAGTAGAACTGAACTTGCGAACTGGCAGCCATGGCGACCAGGTCTAAAGAAATTGAACCAGCTCAGTGCAGTACAGCTCAATGTGTAGTATGTGGCCGAGTGGTAATAAGGAGGTTAGAAAATGAATTGACTCCGGTGCACACCTGGAGCTGATATCTCTCAACTTCTAGTGAACAAAAGACACAAAGCTAAACTTACTGCTACAAACCATGCAAGAAAAGAACCACAAATCAAACAGAGTGCATCTACATGTATTGGCTAGTCTGCGCATAAGCGAAATGTACAATGTCATGTACATATCTACATGTACAAGAAGGAAAGATGCAGACGTGGGAGAGTCTCACCCCAAGTCTCGAAAGTGGACTTGGGGTCACGGAAACGGTTATAACCTATCACTGTCTTTGACACAGTGATAGGGGAAAAGCTATACTCCAGGTACAAAGGTGCCACACAAATACACGGGTGCTACAACTGGTGCTCATGAAAGCTGCTGATAGTGAAGGGTGTAAAAACCTAGAGTACAACAATGGTGTGTGACAAAGCAAATCTGGAATGACCAAAGACCTGACACCATTACAGTAGGCTTGTCAGCGAAGAAGTGACAGGAGTGGTGCAGAGCAGCAGTGCGTGTACATGTGACATAACTAGAGGTCAAATAGATGTACAGTCATGTAGTTGTCAGCAATAGTTCAGTATAAGCAAGGCAGGGATATTACAAATGTACACCAGTCCTGCACTACATGTATGTAACAAGTTCTTACAAGTAGTGCGTATCAATGTCTTCTTCTAGCATCGGTGTTTCTTCTAGCATCGGTGTTTCCCGGCCTCATGAATGCACTGCACCACTCTTTGTTACATTTACTGTTACTAGTATTTGCTTGTTTGTTTGTTTGATCTCTCACTGTGACGTAGGGATGGCAGATAGCTTCTTCGTTGTTCCAGCTGACGTCGGCATGGAGTCAGGTATGCCGTCTCTTAATTTGAATATGGGCTCATTGCAAATGCCACAAGTCCACCCTCACCGTCTAGACCAACAACGGAGCAACTCTCAGCGACAGCGGCCCCATGGCCAGCCGAATGTCACCAGGCAACAGGCCAGCACCGATACTGGCAAGCACAACGATCTCGCCCTCATTTTGAATATTGGACAGGCGTGCCTGACTGCTTTCACCGGCGAAGGAGTAGGTGTACTGTTTTTGTGCGTGTGTGGTGGTGGTGGTGGTGGTGGTGGGGGGGGGGGGGGATACATGTGTATGTAGGCGTGTGTGCATGGTTGTCTGGTTGCGTGTATGTGCCTTTCAATAGCAAACTACCGTACACCCGCATATCAGAGAATATCCTTGTGTCTGCTTGTAGAACCACTATTACCGTAAAGTACCGCCAGAGCGCCCCACCTTGATTTTACAGCCAGGGAAAGGAAAATCGTATGGCAGGGTGCAACAACGTTACTGTGTACAGTGTAAGAACCTTAGTGGACTGAGGTCACACTTAGCATGTTTTGTGTGGAGCTCAAAGGCAAACTGAGCACGGATTGACTGCACAGCGTGCGATGTGTGTACAAGGTACATGTCGTATGACCTTCAGACAGGACGCCACCTCCACAACACGATCCCGAAAGGACGAGTCGGTGGGGCGCTCTGGCGGTACTTTACGGTACTAGTATCCAGCAGTCGCACGGTGATTAAGCACTTGTTGATTGGTACATGTACATGTATGATTGTATACATTGCTGCTGCCACTGCCACCATTGCTCCAATACTCGATCGGAATATCAGAGTTCTTGAAGTCGAGATTTCCATGCAAATTTTGACCCCTAATTCTTCTAAGTTGCCGACAGACTTACGGTTTTATTTGGGGCTGCTTTAACTCAAATTGGACTCTCTGTGTGTGCGCGTGCGCACGTGTGTGTGTGTGTGTGTGTGTGTGTGCGTGTATGTGTGCGTGTGTGTGCATGTGTGCTGCTGCTGCTGCTGTGTCATTTATCCAGGCAAATAAGGAAGAGGAGAAAGACGCCAGTGCTGCTTCGAGTGATGCAGGTATGGAAAGTGACGCTTCTTCTCTACCATCAGCAACAAACTTTCCGAGCTTTTCCAATCAGCGCCATGGTCAGTTCAAACTTGACCTCAATCAACTGCAGATCTGTGCTGTGACTGGTGTTGATGGTAACGCTGACGCTATCCAGTGTAGTATTCAGGTAGGTGTTCCTTTGCTGTCACCTCCCCCCCCCCCTCCCCTCCCCTCCACGCTCTCCTTCTGCCTCTCTCACTCACTCTCACTCTCTCTCTCTCTCTCTCTCTCTCTCTCTCTCTCTCTCTCTCTCTCTCTCTCTCTCTCTCTCTCTCTCTCTCTCCCCCCCCCTCTCTCTCTCTCTCTCTCCCTCCCCCCTCTCTCTCTCTCTCTCTCTCTCTCTCTCTCTCTCTCTCTCTCTCTCTCTCTCTCTCTCTCTCTCTCTCTCTCTCTCTCTCTCTCTCTCTCTCTCTCTCTCTCGCTCTCTCGCTCTCTCGCTCTCTCGCTCTCTCTCTCTCTCTCTCTCTCTCTCTCTCTCTCTCTCTCTCTCTCTCATGCTGCTGATGCTGCAGTTACACTTGATCAATAGTCACTGCAAAGTCACCAGCCTGGAACCTCGTCAGAAAGCCGTATATAGGAGACTACTTATAGTATGTCTATGTACCGAAGAGCAGCAAGGAAATATCAGTTGGCCTTTGCAAGGAAATACCAGTTGTTCTGTGCAAGTTCACTGAGGCAGGGCGATCTGCCTGTGTGCCATCAAATGCCTTACGTGCAACCTTGCTTGCTACCTATAACATAGACTACAAACTTACACTGTTACTTGCAAGTAAGGTGGGACAGAATTGTTATTGCAACTCGGAGTTTCACGCTTGCTCGCGATCATCAGGTAAAACATATTCTGGTATCCATCTTTCGATGAACAGGTAGACACTAGGCCACATTCATGTACCGTATTTTACCGGTTATAAGTCGACCCCGGTTATAGGTCGACCCCCGTATCCGGAGGTCTCAATTCTGCGTTTTAAAGTGTTCACCCAAAGAAGCACTACTAACCACCTCCTGCTACTAACACATCAATAAATCATGTAAATATTCCTCATTGGAGGGTATAACATCCCAATCCTTGAAAAATGCCAATAAACTGGCAACAATGTGTACACATGGTGCACTCGTGCATGCAGTGCAGGTCATTTTTTGTAAGATACTGATAGCTCCCGGTTATAAGTCGAATCCCGGTTGTAAGTCGACCTCCGCCCTTTCTCCGGCTATTTTAAGTCGTAAAAGGTCGACTTACAACCGGAAAAATACGGTATGCATGGTTGACTATAATGTGGGCTGTATGCATATGCATATGTGTATGTGCCTGTGTGGTGTGGCGTGGTGTGGTGTTGTGTCTGTCCCATGCTACTAGTCTAAAGAAGCTGACCTGGCCCACTGTGCGTCTGTACCAGCCAATCAAGACCTGTTCATAGCGCTGTCCAGATCCCTTCTTGATGCCACAAGCTGCAAGTATTTGAAAAATGTTGTGAAAGCATCTGGCATTGGTGATGCGGATGGTGCTACCAGTGCAGGTGGACAGCGGAGGGGTAAACAACAGGATCAAGAGAAGTTCAACACGAACGGCTTGTCAGTGGCTATTGGACTGGATAAGGATGTTGAGCGTGGCCTCAAGGTACTGTTTGGATGTGTGTGTGTGTGTGTGCGTGCGTGCGTGCGTGTGTGTGTGTGTGTGTGTGTGTGTGTGTGTGCACATGTGCACTAAAGTGTGCTACAGGTACATGCTAGAGTCTAAGGACACACTCTGCACAGGAGCACCACTGCACCATTTCCATTGTAATGATAGTATGGGATTGCACATGGAATCCGGCTCCTGGCTTGGTTTGGTTTGGTGCACGGACCTGGCACATTCATACTTGCTCTATGCCGCATGAAATGGGTGGGGTTCAATTTGCTGTCACCATAGCAACTCATGAGAGCATGTGTGTACGGCGTACGCATGTGTGTGTGTGTGTGTGTGTGTGTGCGAATGTACATACGTATGTGTATGTGTGTGCGAATGTGCATGCGTATGTTTGTGTGCTTGTGTGTGTGTGTGTGTGCTGCCGGTCTGTATCTGTACAGACCTATCAAGCATCCATTCTGTTCCACAATGTGCTGTACACGCACCGCATGGCACCAGACACCGAACCATTCTGGCTTGGTCAGGTAAGCCCCACTGGCCTGTAGACTTTTACAATGTTTTCCTGGGAACATCTCGTTGGGGGGGGGGGGGGGGGGGGGTGATAAGAAAAGGGACCAGATGGCATTTTCGCCTAAACTTAACTGCTCACATGACATTGTACTGAAAGCTGGTGTTACACAGAAAATCATGCAAAAACATAACTGATTTATCTCAATTCCCTCCGAAGTTATGGTCATTTTTCTTAAATCGGTATGCAGGCAATTTTTGTAGGCATGCGAAGAACGGATCATGCAAGACTGCCTGATCGCGTCGCGTGCTGCACCCTTGTCCGCCTCTGTCCGTGCTTGTTGAATGTTCCTGCGATGCTCTTCACAGTGCGAGCATACATCAGTATGTGGTGTCATCAGTATGTGGTGTCATGATCTGGATGTATGGCAAACAGTCTAGCCTAGTAATGGACCTAAAGCTATGATAGCCCACAGGCTTTATGCCTGACTCTGACAATGAGGCCACGTGACACTTGTGCTTTGTGGACAGAGGTACATGTTGATGACGCCTGTGTGTGAGTTGGTGGTGCTCCTGCTCGTCCGCGGGTCGGCGCAGGCCGTAGCACTCGGTGTAGGTATCCAAGAACTGCACCACAGCAGACACAGTTTCAAAAGATAAGGCATGCTTGGGCTTCTTGCCGACATTTCCATGTATCCGTGGCACCGGACAAGTCTCTTCCAAGTGCTTTTTTCAAATTTTTCAGTTGCTTCGTTTCAACATTGTACAAGGACCGGAATCCACCAGCACAACTCTCTTCACCTTGGTACGTATAATGGTGCCATTGCTTTTGTCCCTTCTTGCCTTGGGTCGTTGTTTCAACAGAGTATGTTGAAGATGCAAGAATACCCAGTATCACCAGCTACTTTTTCTCTTTCTCCGTTTCTACCAAATTGAGTTTCATTACTTGTCTTTCCACTGCCTGATCAAGTTTATCTACTTCCTGCGTCGTCACCCACTCAAGTAGCGTAAGCACGGACTCGGCCTTGCCATGCTCAAACAGCCAACGCTGAAACTGTGCGATCATTGGCTCCGAAAGCTTCTTGAGCAGGCTCATATAAAATGTTCCTGCTCGCAGCTCAGCCATGTGTGGCCTGCATCCTGCAGGTTAATGATGGCGACCTCGAGCAGGTCCGCGAACTTCTCCAGCTCACGTGCCTTGCTGCTCCGGAGGTCTGCAAACTGTGCCAGATCCTTCAGGTATCCTTCCACTTGGCGCCGTGCACCGCCGTACTTCTTCTCCAGCCGCTGCTTGGCCGCCGCATAAGCTGCTGCCGTGTACCCCAGCTTGGCCACGAACTGAAGTGCCCCGCCACCCAGGTACTGTTTCAGTTGCAGCATCTTGTAGTCTGGCGCCGCTGGCGACACATCGACCCATGCAACGAATGCGGATTTCCACTCCTCGTACTTTCACTTATCGCCATTGAAGACTGGTATTTCCACACGTTTCATGCGGCTCCAGGGCTCAGCCTGGCGCTGGTAGGTGGAGGCAGACACTGGCTGCACAGCTCTTGTGTGAGCACTGCTATGCTGTGACGGTGCTATGACCCCTCCTGGCGGCTGGACTGTACTGGCTGCAGCGGTGACCAGGTTTTTTCTGGGTGCGCCTGTGCTGCTACTGACATGGGGTACAGTACAGGTTCCACTGCCACTGATGGTGATCCCTGCCCTGGTGACAGCAGGAACTAACTGGGGCGCAGTGCTGGCAGTGTTACTTGTGTGTCCACTGGTGGTTGCAGGCAGGCTGGCTGTGTTACTTGTGTGTCCACTGGTGGTTGCAGGCAGGCTGGCTGTGGTGTTGGTGTTCTGTGAGTCTGTGGTTCCTGGTCCTAGCCAAGACTGCCCACTGCTGTCACCCTGGTTGACTCCAAGTGCAGCCATCTCATCTTGGTCGTAGGCATCTGGTGTTCGAGCATCCATGAAACGCGTTTGCCAGTTTGATCGACTGCCTGCTGACGCGCTCCTGGATCGCTCCAGGTCCAGTCCAGGACACTGGTCCGTACGTCTGGTTGCGGCTCTGCTCCCCACAAATCTGGGCACCTCCAAGCCGCCTTGCTGCGCCATCATCCTCAGAGGATGTGCTGGACGTGGAGTTGGTCTCACCAACTGGAGCTGCAACCACCAGCTTGGTAGCACCCTGTGACTCCTCACAAACAACAGTAGCTGTGTCGACAGCTCCTCCAAGTCCACAGCCCCAAGTGGGTTGATCACCGAACAGTTCAAAATATAACCTGACGAGATGCCACTTGCACTTATTTTCAATTTCCCCCCAATCGACCTCCTCAATCGCATCGCCATCAAGTTGCTGATCGTCGTCATCCACTCCTGATCCAGTAGGGGGCTCCTTTTTGTTCCTTTTCAGGATAGGAACAATCCACCTCTCCATCATCTTCTTGCCCAGCTTCTTGAGTCCGGCAATCTTATTCTTCACGAGGTCATCAGTCAAGTCCTCCACATCATTTTCTCCGGGACTCGCCAGAAGTTTGCCATCTCTCTTCATTTCCACCAATTTTTTCCTCAGCCACTCTCTCTTTTCCTTGGCAGTCTTCATCTGCTTCTGGAACCGGCTGCTGACAACATTCCAAAGTTTCAGCGTGGCCCGCTCCAAATCTTTTGACCAGTTGAAACCCATCGCAAACGGAAGGAAGAGAAACACTGACAAAGTTGAAACTGACAAAACGAGTGAAAGACAGAACAAATATTGTTGTTCGTCGTCCGGTCTTGCTTCTTCAAAGCAGATTTCAAGTTTCCCGCCAGCATTTCCCAGTTCACGTGATCATGAACAATGCAAGCCGCGATCGCGGCGAGCCACCACACTACAAAACGCAACGCGAAAGCCCGTGGCAGGCCGCCACTCCGCGGCACTTGCTCGAGCCACTCGTCACTTCCGCGCACTGGCAGGCCAGCTGGCAGGCCTTTTGCTGTGGTTGGTGCTGCAGTCTCTGCGAGAACCCGATTCGTCGCATCGGCGTTCTCCTTCTCGATAGTTTCTGACTCCTTCCGAAGCTTTTCCACCTCCTTCTGGTCTCCAACTTCCGTGAAATCGTCCATCAGGTCGGCGAGCACTCTTTCACACTCGTCGTACGCCTCGCCTAAATATTGCAGTTCGCCTCCGACGTCTGCGCTGCAGATTTCGCTGTCCGCCTACCTCACAATGAGATCTCTTCGCTTGTTCGTGAACTGGCCTTTCGCCTTTACCTTCCTGGCTCGCAGGCCCAGGCGCTGGCTCGCACGATCCCTACTCGCGTCTGTGGGGCTCACTCGGAGCGCTTGTCGCTCCATCCACCTCCTCTACCTGATCCTCGCCAGGGGAGACATATCGTTCTGTCTCCGACATCATTCGAAGAAGTATCTTATACTCGCACGAATTCTTGCTGCTACCCTTGAACCATCTTCTGCTACCAGATGAAACCGCGATCGGAATCAGTTTTGATGGACTCCCTACGTAGCACCAAGGTCTCCGTTCAGTCACTCACAACGCGAAGTCAGTGGCTGGAAACTGAGACAGATATTCCTTGATCCACACTCAAACTCAAAGCAAACTAACTATCCTCGTCATCGAGCAGACAAGTCGGTTCGAATCCACTAAGAAGTAGACACTTGTTGCTGCACCCACAGTCATGCGTCGTTACTTGAACACTGACTGCCACTGCCGCTAGCGCTGGTTCAGCTGCTTGGGGCTCTTCGCTGACATGCGATGCCGCAATTGCGTCTACTTTGAGTTCCTCATCCAAACAGTGCTTTTCACCGCCCTTAAATCCAGCTTGCATAAAACAACTGTTGCTTGTCTGCTCCGTGACATCTTCCCACACTGTCTACATCCCGTACAAATGCATCAAGGATGGTCATACGTCTGGATTTTCTATTGCTATTTGCAGTGTCTGACTTACTACATGACTCTCTATCTCAGCTCATCTACATGTATGTATCATAAAACATCTACATGTATGTATCATAAAACAGAGGTTCCAGGCTGTCCAAGAGAGTGCTCAATACCGAGTTTAGAGCTGGTTCAAACAATAGGAGGACAGAGAAAGTGTTTTTACTCCGAGTTTCACGCACTAAGCAATCATCAGAAAACCAATACTGATCCAGATTTCTCATTACTGTTTTCTGATGATCGCTTAGTGCGTGAAACTCGGAGGAAAAACTCTCTGTCCTCCTATTGTTTGTATATATCATAGAGTGCAGAATAAGGCTTGGGCTGTAAGTTCGCGCAAAGCCATCCTCAGCCAACACTTCTTACTGTTAGAATTGTTGTTTGAGGATCGCGTAGCATGAAACTCAAGTAGCTGTTGAACTGCCATTCCGCCTTCTATGTGAGGAAAATCACTCCAGGTATTTATTGATCACTGTGTGAACATTCACTAGTTGGGGGAAGGGAAGGGGAAAAGTCTGAAGAAAAAATTGACTGTCACCACCAGGACTCGTGAACGTTCCATGACGTTTCCATGACTTTTGTGTGTGTGTGTGTGTGTGTGTGTGTGTGTGTGTGCGTGCGTGCACGCGCGCGCGCATGTGTGTGTCCCTGTGAATGTGTACTGCAGGCACGCGATTTCATCTCCATGACAGATCAGGTTATTCCCGGCTATGAGTGGCCCAAGGCACAGACCAACTTCTGCTTACACTTCCGACAGGCTGCTATCCTCTATCGGTCAGTTCTCCTGCTGTAGACTAAACAAACAGGCATAGAGCTGTGAACCAGTGCAGCGAACTATTGACCCCCGGGTACCCATTCCCCCCGGATTCCCATTTCCCCCGGGTAACCGTTTCCCCGAATACCCATCCCCCCCCCCACATGGAATTCCTAAACATCGAATTCGATCCTCTTTACTCATGACTTTCAGCATATTGGTGTGCATGTGAATTTGTTCCTACAACTTGATTGATCCGACGTGTATCTCTTGTGCAACGCCACCAGCACGATAGCTCATGTGGAAATGGCATGGTTCTGAAGTGTTGACTTTTCAATGTTTTGACATGCGATGCATGATATAGCTATCCATTGGACATTGTAGTTATCAGTGCTGTCTGAGGATTGCAGTATGTGTGAAACTCAGTGTCATGGCTAGACCGATTTTTAGCCCTTCTCTGTCTGTACCTGTGTGTTAATCAATCTGCGGACAGAACTGTTTCGTCCTTTGTGGACTCATCAGCGCAGCACAGAGAAAATGAGGCCGAGCCTGATAGCAATGAAAAATAAATTTCCCAAAGCCACATTTAAACCAGGCCCGAACGTCCCTTGCCAGAGTGCTCAAACTGACAAGTCAGTGATCTCTGTATAACGCAAAGAGCAAAGGTACTACCCCACACAAGAGTGCTAAACTGCTACAAGAGCAGGAGCGAAATACTATGTATATACCGGTATGTGCGCTGTGTGTACATGTCTGTGGTGTGCGTACATGTCTGTGTTACATGCATGTCGTGTACCGGTGTGTGTGTGCGTGCGTATACAGGCCATTGCACTTGTCCCTGGCAGTTGCCTTGACTTGCAAGATGTTTTCACTGGCTTGCAGTGTGGTGGACCAGTCTAAAACAACCCTCTTGAGGTGAGTTGTGGAATACCGGTATGCCGTGACTCGGTCCAGTACTGGCTGAATGATATGTCTGGAGACCCGGATGTGTACCGGGACATGTATCGGGACATGTGTACCGGGGGCATGGACCAGGACATGGACCGGGACATGGACCGGGACATGGACCAGGACATGGACCGGGGCATGGATCGGGACATGTGTACCGGGACATGTGTACCGGGGGCATGGACCGGGACATGGACCGGGGCATGGATCGGGACATGTGTACCGGGACATGTGTACCGGGGGCATGGACCGGGACATGGACCGGGACATGGACCAGGGGCATGGATCGGGACATGTGTACCAGGACATGTGTACCGGGACATGTGGACCGGGGGCGTGGGCCGGGACATGGACCGGGACATGGACCAGGGGCATGGATCGGAACATGTGTACCGGGACATGTGTACCGGGGGCATGGACCGGGACATGGACCGGGACATGGACCAGGGGCATGGATCGGGACATGTGTACCGGGGCATGGACCGGGACATGGTCCAGGGGCATGGATCGGGACATGTGCACCGGGACATGTGTACCGGGACATGTGTACCGGGGGCATGGACCGGGACATGGACCAGGGGCATGGATCGGGACATGTGTACCGGGGGCATGGACCGGGGCATGGATCAGGACATGTGTACCGGGGGCATGGACTGGGACATGGACCAGGGGCATGGATCGGGACATGTGTACCGGAGGCATGGACCAGGGGCATGGATCGGGGACATGCATCGGGACATGGACCAGGGGCATGGATTGGGACATGGGCCGGTGATATGTACCGGGGGCATGGATCGGGACATGGACCGGGATAAAGACAGCGGACAAGGACTAGGGACATATACGGGGATATGTTGTTGGGTGCATGTAAATAGATCTGCATTGTGGATGTGCATTGATGACGATAATGTGCGCAGTAAGTGAGAATGTCATTCCGGATCATGTTCACTACTTTCCGGGTGGTCACTTTTAGTCTGTACAGTTGTATAACTTTCAGTACAGTAACATAATGCTCCCTGGAGTAGCTCCCTGGTCTAGCTCCCTGGTCTAGCTCCCTGGTCTAGTTCCCTGGTCTAGCTCCCTGGTCTAGCTCCTTGGTCTAGTTCCCTGGAGTAGCTCCCTGGTCTAGCTCCCTGGAGTAGCTCCCTGGAGTAGCTCCCTGGTCTAGTTCCCTGGAGTAACTCCCTGGTCTAGCTCCCTGGAGTAGCTCCCTGGTCTAGCTCCCTGGAGTAGCTCACTGGTCTAGCTCCCTGGAGTAGCTCCCTGGTCTAGCTCCCTGGAGTAGCTCACTGGTCTAGCTCCCTGGAGTAGGTCCCTGGTCTAGCTCCCGTGTCTAGTTCCCTGGAGTGGCTCCCTGGTCTAGCTCCCTGGTCTAGCTCCCTGGTCTAGTTCCCTGGTCTAGCTCCCTGGAGTAGCTCCTTGGTCTAGCTCCCTGGAGTAGCTCCCTGGAGTAGCTCCCTGGTCTAGCTCCCTGGAGTAGCTCCCTGGTCTAGCTCCCTGGAGTAGCTCCCTGGTCTAGCTCCCTGGAGTAGCTCCCTGGTCTAGCTCCCTGGTCTAGTTCCCTGGAGTAGCTCCCTGGTCTAGCTCCCTGGTCTAGTTCCCTGGTCTAGCTCCCTGGTCTAGCTCCCTGGTCTAGTTCCCTGGAGTAGCTCCCTGGTCTAGTTCCCTGGTCTAGCTCCCTGGAGTAGCTCCTTGGTCTAGCTCCCTGGAGTAGCTCCCTGGTCTAGTTCCCTGGTCTAGCTCCCTGTCATCAATCCAGCATAATTCTTTCTAATGCTGATGTTTCTGTGCAGTATTTTTGGCACTGATCTTCGTCTGCACCTGTCTAACAATGCCGAAGACCGTAACATCAAGAGAGGTGAGAGCTTTGCGCTTACATTGTAATACTGGTGATATCTATGGCCACTGAAAAGGCCCATTCACAATATTACTTTTGCGACGCGACTTGCGACACACGACACTTGCGACAAGGAATGTGTGTCGTGTACTGTCGCTAGCAGTCAAGGCCACTGTCACAGAAGTAGACCATGGTTCAACTTTTTTTTACAAGTTGTAGCTAAACTTTGAGTTTCACTGTCACACTGTTCAGGCAACATAACTTCTCATCCTCCGTGCGGCCAGGGGTGAGTCGATCGGAGTGACGGTCGAAGCTTCATCAAATAAAGCGCGCACTCTGACGTCACCGGCTGGATCGTGCAGGGTGACCGGTGCCACACGCAGCATTACCTCGCACGTATGCGCCGTCACTGCACACAGGTGCGTCTCGTCTCTTTCGCCTGCGGCATCTGAGTCGTCAGAGAAAGAGGAGTGAAGAAGTTTGTGGTGGTGTTTTCTGCAGCCGTCGACTGGACACTCCTTCGAGCGTGGGCAATCTGGCAGACGATGACCCTTACGAAGGCATGTGAAACAGCGTCTCTGATCCTTAACCCATTTCCAGCGACTACGCACTGACTGGTCCAGGAACCTCCTGCACTCGTGAGCAGCATGGGAGCGACCATTGCAGAAATCACACCGATCGCTGCCTTCACTACTGCCGGTCGTTGTAACGAGTGACGAGTCCGTTCAACGCGGCGGTGGCCTGTGGTCTATGGTGGACGGTCTAGGTATGTGAACGTACGATACAGAGAGGGCCACTTGCTGAAGCCAAGAAGATTACGGACAATGTCTCCCCACTGGAGGCGCAGACTTGCGGTAGATTGCTCACCAGCTCCTGCCGAAGTTGTGGGTTCAGCATGTGGCCTGGTTTCCTCAGCAACTGCATAGTAGACACCAAAGTTTGCACGGCAGTGGCGAATACCATGAGGGCGTCAAAGTCATCGGCTCGGATGGAGCTCAGGCTCTTGGCCTTGTGGATGAGCGTGGTGATCACCAGCTCGGCACATCCGAAACGGAGCTCCAAAGTCCGCAGCACCTGGTCAACGTTGTCGGGGACGGTGAGCAGGCCAACCACTGCTTCCTTCGCCTTGCCTCGCAGGCATTTCTGCAAGCGTATGATGTTCTCCGCATTCGTGAAGTCACACGCAGTGGTGGTTGAGTGAAACACACTAAAAAAACAAAGGCCACTCCTCCGGTTGCCCAGAGAATGTGAGCAAGTCTCTGTCCATAGTCTGGCAAGCCAGGAACTTGTTGGTACTGGCCGGCTGTCGTTCAGGAGGTGCAGGTGGAGCACGAAGTAAGGCTTGAAGGACCAAATGTTACAAGCAAGAATTCAAAATCCGATACACGTGCACAGGCACACTCTCCGAACGCAAATGGACAACACACCACTAGACGCTCTGGATTTCTCCTTGCAAAAGACTTCAACCAGAATACAAAAGGAAGGGAAAAAGCTCAGCAAAGGCACAGCGCGCTTGCGCCACCACACAAAAGGAATCATAGTGCGAGCATGACTCATACTCATACTCATAGTCATAGCACCAAGAGTCCATAACCGCAAGAGTGTGCAACTGGGGTCTGGCTGCTGTAGGCCCACTGCGCGGCGGAATTCCAACATTACGTCATGCCGCTGAGGCACAGAGGACAAAACTCTGCATTTCCTTCGGTTTTGCATTGTCGATTTCCACCAGAAATCTACCTCATTGCATTGAGACCAGTACAGTGTATACGGTACACAAGTACATTGTAGATAGATGATATGCCAAATAAGCGCTCGAAAAGTTGAGAGGGCATGCGATTGATGCGCCCAGGCTTAGCTTGTCAAGTGCACGGGATGTGCAAAGTACACGGATTTTAGGCTTGTTGCGCGCTTACGCGATCAGGTGCTGCACGTGCATGAATGGAATGCATGCAGTTCCACCGTTACTAGTTTTAGCACTTCCTTCGGCGTTGAAACTAAAGCTGTAAATCTGGATAGAAGAAACAGTTTTGCTTGCTTTTAATATAGCGGCTGGAGTGATTTTTCGCTGTCTTGTTTTCGGATACCGACCAACCACGACCATTGCTGTGTTCCAGGATGTACTGGTGACCGGCGTTACTCCCCAGCCCCAGCAAATGGTATTCGTCTTTTCCATAAATTTCCATCATCCTGAACTGTGAAGGAAATGGACTGTTGCGACGGGAGGAAAGGGAAGGAGAGTAAAAGAAAGTGACACTACAGTGGTGTGATCTGACCTTTTCTTGCCAGAAGATTATGTAGATCTACAAGGGGAGAAAATCGCCAGAGCAAGACTGGTAAAACATTTTGTATCTGGAGTTTTCAATCTGGTCCGCCAAGACAACAGCGGCTGATGCTAACCGGCGTCGCTCTACCTCGTGTCGTGAGCTACTGCACGGGAGCAGCCTGAAGACATACGGCTCATACCTAGTGCTATCCTAGGCATACTGTCCCTACGCTGGAGGAAGCATTCGACAGTATTCAATGCAATCTGGGTGACTGCAAGAATAAAGTAGCAAAATTGAGCGAAATGACTAACAGTCGCATGTTTGGAGTTCTGCGGGTATCCCGAGTCAAAGACAAGGCATCATATCAGTAACCTTGGACAACACAGTCATCATGGTCATGCGACGTATCAAGCGGAGTCTCAAGATAACATTTGGCTACCCAGCAGCCACCATTTGTCACCGCCACAAAATATTCCCGTCGCCATCCGTTAAAACTTTATAGTAATTATTGTTTGCCATGCCATAGCGCCTCAGCCCCCTCTTTGCGGAGTTTACTTTGTTTTTAGGTCAAAATATTCACCCTACGCTGGCTACGGAAGCCTTGACCAGGCCTGCTGAGGGGATAGTACACCCTCGTTTTAGCCCTACCTAATGCTTCTTCACGACATGGATTCTCTTTGCAAAACATACAGGTACCTGGTCTCTGATATCAGTGATAGCTGGAGTTTTCTTCCATCGGGGTGCTGCTAGGCAGCCTCCTTCGTCATGCCGCAGAGGCTGCGTAGAAGGCTGTTATGTTATAACAACCTTCTACGTAACCTCTTTGCAATACGCCATTTCCAACTTACCTCGAGCACCCTGTAAAAAGGCGCATTGTCTGCAGGGATGGCCCTAGTAAAATGATAAATACAACAAAAATAGAACAACTCTATTTGTGCTGGCCCTGACGAATAGCGGAAGCACATGAGAAACTGGTTGCCTGGAGCAATGACGGAAGAAACGCTGATGTGATCTCACTCAGGTGAGGGATGAGGTAAAACCGCGAAGCAGTCAGGGTCTTGCTTCTCAGCCTATGCCATATGCCGCTGCCAATCTGCTGTTGGGTATGGCGCTCTATTGCTATTACCTCTGTTAGAAGCACCTTCTCTGTGATGTGGGATAGGGAAGGCGGGATTTCCCAGTACAAAGGCAAATCAATGTTGCCAGTGTCAGTATGCCCAGGTGGTTGATAAGGGTTTTCGCAACTACGTTCCTTGGCCCTTGTGCCCCATTGCTGTTGTTGCTAGGTTGCATATATAGTTGATGGTCAGCAGCAATGCATTATGTGGTGGAAGGAGCATGCAATGCTGCAGTGCAACTGCAATATGCAGACATCACTTCGAGTACATGCGTTTCTTTTAGCACTGTAGCACACACTTAGCTCTCCTTCTTCTTTTGAGATGCCCAACACTTAGCCTTGACAAAGTATCTCTGCGGTCCAGAATTCTTTGGCTCTGGGAAGCAACACTCAACACTGAAAACGAATGGCGAGAAGAAGGACTCATCCCCGAATGGTTTCTGTGTCCAGCGTTAGGTACCTTTCTCGATTCTGAAGATGCTGGAGTACAGCACTAGCAGAAACACCACTTAGCAAATCCTCCGAGCGATGGCTCCAGGCCTCGGTGGGAAATTCTGCGTCTGTTTGTTGAGCAGCATCTATGGTTGGATGGATTCAGCGGAGAAGCAGCTTCTTCTGTTCCCGATGCAGATGGTGTCAAGGTATTCGCTGCTGTAGCGACCAGTGAAGGAGGAACGGATTTTCATCGCCCTTTCGCTGCTCGGAGCCGACTGCCATCATTGTCCCCCGTCCTAAGCTCTGGGGCGTTGGGAATAAAATAATATCTGTCGGTCTTACCTCTGCAACAAAATTTAATCATCTCGCTTTCCATCTACCGGTATCTCTCCCTCACGTACATGTACGTCTTCAGCTGAGCAAAAGTCCATCTAGCAATCGTTTCGCCGACAGGTGGGTTCGCAAAACGAGAAGCTATGGCTGGTGTACTATTTCTTGCTGCCATATCTGGGTAGCAAAATGAAAAATTGAAAGCAAACTATGCACAAAGGTGTCAGAGTTCCTTTTCTTCATCCGAAAATTTTCTCCGACAGAATGCTAAAATGCAATAACAGTGGAACTGCATGCATTCCATTCATGCACGTGCAGCACCTGATCGCGTAAGCGCGCAACAAGCCTAAAATCCGTGTACTTTGCACATCCCGTGCACTTGACAAGCTATGCCTGGGCGCATCAATCGCATGCCCTCTCAACTTTTCGAGCGCTTATTTGGCATATCATCTATTGGCGCGTGGCAAGAATGCCAAGAGTACACATGTAAAATTAAAATAAAAAGGCCCAACCCTGCCTTGCCAGTTATGTGGACGTACCGGGGGTCGCCATGGCAAATAATAAGTACTAGTAGAATGCCAAGAGTGCATGTCTTTGGTCTTTGATGGCTTTGTTTTTTACGGTACAGAGTTTGTGCCTTCGGAGTCAGAAGGTCCTTTTCTTCCCTCACCCTGCCGAGAATATTTTCTTGCTGTCCTTCCTAGATCCGGTGCCTTTTGAGGCTGCGTTTACACGACAACGATTGAAAACGATTTGCGTTTACACGACAACGAAGTAGGACCTAAACGGAACGAAATCGTTGCGTTTACTACTATCGTTTACACGACAACGCCCGAAAACGATACCTAAACGGAACGAAATGGAAACGCACTTCAAAGTGTTTTGAAACGTTTTCAAAACGTTTTCAAAACGTTTTCGTTCTCGTGTAAACGGTGAAAACAGTGAAAACGATTGGAAACGGAGCGCGGTCATGGAAACCATTCCGCGCGGGACTATATTTCGCGGGAAATACCCAATCCTTGCGACCACCAGCACGTACCAACTCCAACTAACGTGTTACTTCCCGCCCTTGCGCCAAGCCAGCACGTGCTAACTCCAGCCTGATCGCCCGGTTTCCGTTTTCGTGTGAACGGTTCAAAACGATTTGCCGTTCTCGTGTAAACGGTTTGAAAACGATTCGAGGCCAGCCCGTTTTCGTTCCGTTTCGTTCCGTTTCGTTTCGTTTCGTCTCCGTGTAAACGCAGCCTCAGTCCGTTTAGCTTTTGGCTTTGGACGAGAAGTACTTTTCTTCTTCCCCTTGTTGATGAAAAGTACTCTTTCTTGTCTTGTTCTCACAGTTAGTGGGTTTGGTGATACTTTTTTTGTGAATTTCGGTTGTCCCAGTGGATTTGCTAAACCACTGCTTTGATTTGGCTCTCGGTAGTCCAGAAGACGGCGATGCAGAAGTGAACAGTGAGCAAGTTGCAGTCAGTGGGCATTCTGCTCCTCCAACCCAAGCTGCAATTACTCCCGGGAAGTGCGAAGAAAAGAGCGAGGGCAAAGCAATTGTCCTCCAAAGACAAAGCCAGCCTTCTGGTATCAAGAGTCCATAACCGCAGGCGAAAGGGCGGCTTTGAGTGTACGGGTTCGTATACACTTGGGCGGTTCGCGGCAAAGTTCAAGGCATAAAATCATTTTCGACTCGTGTGAATTCGACATAAAACCTCGGGCAAAGCAGAAAATCTACAAGCGCAACGAACATGTACGTCAGTTTTGACGTAATGTTGGAATTCTGCCGTGCAGATCCCCATGTACAGAGTTACACACTCTTGGGGTTATGGACTCTTGATAGCACATACAGCACAGCGCAGTTGTACAAACGCATGATCACGGATGCGAAAGGTTTTTGAAAATACAAATAATTTATGATGAGAGCATCTTAAACAACTACAGGTTCGAAACGGAAATAAAATTGAAGAGAGATGGAGAAGCAGAGTAGAACGAGATGAGACAGAAGGAGAGAATTATCAGTGTCAGTAGAACAAGAGCATTGACACTCGTAATAACAGAATAGACGACATGGCTGTAGACTGGAACATCTCCACGTGCGCGTTTGCGCCAACGTGACTATTAAAGAGGAAAATAAATAAATAAATAAATAAACAAACAAGGTAAGGTCAAACGAGAATCATTCAAGGGGCTGTCTTGAAACATGTGCAAATAGGCGAGTGGCAACAACAAGTGTTATTCTGCATTACATGCTCTACAATCATGCTGTACATGCTGTTGGCTACTTTGAAGTTTCCACCTGTTTTTGATGCCAGGCTAAATGTTTTATGTTTCTGTTTGTGTGTTTGTGGGTCTGTGGGTCTGTGTGTCTGTGTGTGGATATGTATGTCTGTCTGTAATAATGCATGCGTGTGTGTGTGTGTGCGTGTGTGTGGGTCTGTGTGTGTGTGTGTGTGTGTGCGCGCGCCCGCGCGCGCGTGCATGTGTGTGTGTGTGTGTGTGTGTGTGCATGTTTGTTTGTGTGTGTGCGTGCGTGCGTGCGTGCGTGTGCATGTGTGTGCATGTGTGTGTGCGTGTGTGTGTGTGCTGCAGATTTCATCTGTCTTGCTTGCCTGAGAAATATTCTTCTGCGCTGGAGTATGGACGACAGCGAGGTATGCAAGTGGTTGGGCTCGTAGGGAATGATGGCTCTCTCATGACTCTAGTTGACAATGGCATTACTGAGATTCATGACCATATGACTCTGGTTGATGATCTTATGACTCTGGTTGATGATCTTATGACTCTGGTTGATGATCTTATGACTCTGGTTGATGATCTTATGACTCTGGTTGATGATCATTCTTATGACTCTGGTTGATGATCATTCTTATGACTCTGGTTGATGATGTCATTACTGTTGTTGATTATCTCATAACTCTGGTTGATGATGTCATTACTGTGGTTGAATCGCCAAACCTGTACCCAAATTGGACGTAACTTTAGTTTGCACTGGACAAATTCCACGATCTTGGGCATCCTGGAAAGGCCTTGGCGAGAGGAGCGCAATGAGCCTACACCCGACTCCACGGGATGCACTGGCCCAGCGCTGCAAGCCAGGGAAGGCCCACCAGCGCTGGGCTCATGCTCGAGATCTATCTCTATCCACCATTTCACTCCTGTTGTTCGTATCAAACTCAACATTTTTCGTAGAGACTTCCGGGAGCCTACTTTTGAAGTTGAATCAGCGTAGCTTGTCAACAGGTGACGTAAGCAGGAAAAATTCTGGCCGTTGACCCAAGCATCACGCTCTGAGCGCAAATTTCCCGGGACCAATATTACAAGTGCTGTATCTCAAGAACCGCTCTTTCTATCGCTTTGAAACTTATTTCGAGGCGACAGCTGAGAGTTTTCTCTTCGACCTACATATTTCAATCTCTCCAAAAGGCCGAGATTTGACCAAGTTACGATAATTTCAAAATGCCTACCCCATCGAACATCGGTGTTCGATCAATGTATGAGCCAGCCAATAAAGGGTGAACTCTGGTTGATGATGGCGTTACTGTGGTTGCTGATCTTATGACTCGGGGTTGATGATCTAATAGGCTAAGCGGCTGTAGCGTTGGACTGCTCTTCTTTTTCTGTCCATTTCTTATTCTCTCAGTTGCCCGTGGTGCGCGACCACCGACTCATGGATTTCACGGTGCTGCGGCACGTTGATTCGGCGCTTCATGAAGCCACCACCACCGCCGCCGGCCAGGATGCGGAGAAGAGGAATGTGACGCTGAGCCGTATCACCTTCACCAGCTCTCTGCTGATGATCAGTGTGTGCGCCGATTCATGCAAAGCCATGGTTGAGCTCATCACCTACGTGGCAGGCGACGGGGACATGCAAAACTCAGCTGAAGAGGTACACTTTAGATACCAGTAGAATGCAAATTTCCCTTTCCCCTTTCCCCGGTCCCTTTCCCCGGTCCCTTTCCCCTTTCCCTTCCCCCTTTCCCCGGATTATGATGATCAACATGATTGGTTTAGGGCAGAGAGTCGCAAAAGGTTTTAGTCGTCCCTGAAACGAACATCGTTCATTTTGTTCTCGGACCCCCTCTCCATCCTCCGAAATGAACACAGCTCGCTTTGCCGGACGGCGAAGTTCGCATGCATGGACATGTACGTGAACAGTGTCGGTCGACTGGAGATTTTGGCTCACACCCCCCCCCCCCCCCCGCCCGAAAAAATGAACGATGTTCGTTTCGGGGACTACAAAAAAACCTATGCAATGACCCCCTAGTTCTGTCAGACAAGCTTACTATCCCCGGAGTATGATGATGCATGATTGGTTTGGGTCTGTTTTGGGTCTGTTTTGGGTCTGTTTTGGGTCTGTTTTGGGTCTGTTTTGGGTCTGTTTTGGGTCTGTTTTGGGTCTGTTTTGGGTCTGTTTTGGGTCTGTTTTGGGTCTGTTTTGGGTCTGTCAGCCGAAAGTGTATGACTGTATCTGACTTGTTTCACATGTTCTTAGTATGGAGATTTGGGGTTGGCAGTATTTGCTTGTGCATACCGTAATGTCGCGTATACAAGCAGGTGCTGACGGCCGTATAAGCCGGGTTCAAACCATGCTTCTATTCAAGTTATGCTTCTACGTCAAAATCTTCAGTCTACACTGCAAAGTGCACATTGTCATGCATGTGATGTGCACGTATGCTTCTACTCAAATCGTGCGTCTGTGTCACGGCGCTCTTCAAAAAATCGGCTTCTATTTGAGTCATGCTTCTATACGGGTCATGCTTCTATACGGGTCATGCTTCTATACGGGTCATGCTTCTATACGGGTCATGCTTCTATACGGGTCATGCTTCTATACGGGTCATGCTTCTATACGGGTCATGCTTCTATACGGGTCATGCTTCTATACGGGTCATGCTTCTATACGGGTCATGCTTCTATACGGGTCATGCTTCTATACGGGTCATGCTTTTATATGCGATACTACAGTATACCATGATGTGTGTGTGTGTGTATGATAATGACTGTACATAATTATACTGTTGTCTGTCTGCTCTCAGTTTACGTTTAAAGTTCTTTTTGCTTATATTATTGTGTGTCTGTGTGTCTGTGTGTCTGTGTGTCTGTGTGTCTGTGTGTCTGTGTGTCTGTGTGTGTGTGTGTGTGTGTGTGTGTGTGTGTGTGTGTGTGTGTGTGTATCTGTGTGCTGCACAGTCAGCAATGGTTGCAGGCACACCTGCAGGCTCTGCAGGTAGTAGTAGGAGAGGCAGTCTCAGTAGCTGCAGCGGCAGTGGTAGCTCTGGAAGCTGTGGCTTCGCTCGGAGTGGTGCGAATGCGGACAGCGACGGCACTGCTCCTCGTCCTCACCCACGTCCTCATTCCTGCGCTCTACAGACTAGCAGTCAAGAGCAAGAACGCTGTGCAGTTCCTTCTCCACAACAATACTTCACCGCGTCACCGTCCACCACCAGTGCCACTGGCAGCGGCTCCATCGCCATGTCCTCCCCGTCACCAACCTGGAGTGCCTCGCCCAGCTTACTTACCAGCGCCATTGATGAACCTGCTACTGCTACTTTTGCTGCTGCTGCTGCTGCTACTGGTTTTGATTCTGACGAGGAAGATAACCGAGCCTTTGGTACGTGCTATGAGAGTGAGGCGTGTGGGGTGTGGGGTGTGGGATGAGAAGTATAGGGTGCGGGCGAGGAGTGAGGGTTAGGGAACGAAGCTGATGCGGAGTGTGGGATGAGGAGTGAGGAATGTCGGGGCGTCAGAGTTTTTTTTTCGTGATCACTTCTTCAATAGCAACACTTTAAAACCCTTTACAGTTTCTCAAGTTTGTACATGTGAGCAGAAATCGAGGCTGTCAGAATTCGAACTACTGCATGGCGAGCCGGGCAGTATTTGTCAGGTCATACCGGTATCTGAGCCAAACTTGATTGGGTTGAGCATGGCTTCTACACTGATAGATAGTGATAGTACACTTACATGGTCTGTTGTGCTGAAGACTGTGAGTGGGGTGCAGTAAGCACATGTGTTCATGACAACTACAAGTGCAGTACTTCAGAACATTGTTCACTACTATCCCTTCATGTTGGGTTGGTTTGCGTTGCTCCAACTGTGCTCTACTGCTGCCGCTGTATTCGTTGTTGTTTGTCGTTGTCGTTGTTGTTGTTGTTGTTGTTGTTGTTGTTGTTGTTGTTGTTGTTGTTGTTGTTGTTGTTGTCGTCGTCGTCGTCGTCGTCGTCGTCGTTGTTGTTGTCGTCGTCGTTGTCGTCGTCGTCGTTGTTGTTATTTTTCCATTGTTACTGCTTAACAGAGGCAAAGATCCGACGTGAAATTGAGGCTAACCTTGCCGCGGATGAGTTTTTATCGGATTCAGAGAATGAACAACGCGTAAAGGAAGCCGTAGCGAAACACAAAGCCGCTAAGCGCTCTAAGAAGAAGTCCAAGCGTCGCCCTGTGGCAACAGTCAAGCCTCAACGATCCAGTGTTGCTGACGCTCTTAGTGATGCAATGGGAGATCTTTGGGGTGGCAATAGTTCAACAACGTCTGCAGTTACCAGTAGTGTTTCTCAGGTGCTTTCTTCAGATGAGAGCTCTGAAGATGACTGGGAGGTTGTGGACACCGCCAAGGTTCGTATATGTGACACACATGTGTGTGTGTGTGTGTGTGTGTGTGTGTGCGTGCGTGCGTGCGTGCGTGCGTGCGTGCGTGCGTGCGTGTGTGTGTGTGTGTGTGTATTGGGTGGCAGTGGTGGTGTGTGCATGTGTGTGAGTGCATGGTGAAACGTTTGCACAAGTTAGGGGATGAAGTTCTTCCTCATTTTTGCCTTAGCTTCCAACTGGCCACACTGACAGCACTGGTAGCACTGGTAGCACTGGTAGCACTGGTAGCACTGGCAGCACTGGCAGCACTGGTAGCACTGGCAGCACTGGTAGCACTGGTAGCACTGGCAGCACTGGTAGCACTGGTAGCACTGGTAGCACTGGTAGCACTGGTAGCACTGGCAGCACTGGTAGCACTGGTAGCACTGGCAGCACTGGTAGCACTGGTAGCACTGGCAGCACTGGTAGCACTGGTAGCACTGGCAGCACTGGTAGCACTGGTAGCACTGGTAGCACTGGCAGCACTGGTAGCACTGGCAGCACTGGTAGCACTGGTAGCACTGGTAGCACTGGTAGCACTGGTAGCACTGGACCTTGAACACCGACGATACTAGAATGCTAATTTGTCTTACATCTACATTGGAATCACATTGGAGTAGGGGAGGCTAGATTTTACAGCTATTTAATTTAAATGTATGCATTTCTCCTGCTATGTGTGTGTGTTTGTGTATGTGTGTGTGTGTGTGTCCGTGTGCGTGTGTGCACGTGTGTGTGTGTGCACGTGTGTGTGTCTGTGTGTGTCTGTGTGTGTATGTGTGTATGTGTGTGCGTGTGTGTGTATGTGTGCACATGTGTGTGTGTGTGCACGTGTGTGTGTATGTGTGTGTGTGTGTTTAGTACCCTTCACGGCCTATCGGCTGTGCTATCAGGGACACGCGAGCAAGTGGCGGTGGTCTGGAAGAGCTTCCTCCTTCTGCTCCCCTTCCCGATTGTTTTAACTTTCCCGGCAAGCCGGACTTCTTCGTCAGCAAGGTGAGCAAGTCGAGAAAGGCCTTGCCTTTGACACCTAAAGGGCGTGGTTGTGGGTGTGGTCAGTCCTGGAGATGTCCTAGATGGGACATCACAGAACCCAGCATGCCCCAGCATACATACTATGCTGT